TATATATATATATATATATTTTTTTCAATTCAAGTTGAAAAAGAAATTGAAAGATTTCGGAATCGATCTAATATGTTATCTGAGAACTAGGAAATTTCTATTGAAATTGCAAGTTTTCGTTGATCGATTCGCTTTGCATCTGCCTTTACTTCGCGATAAATTGAAGGTGAATATACGAGAAAATCGGGTAAATTCGAAAATCCGACTAGAATCCACTCTTGGAGAGAATTCAAGAGTAACGTATCACATCGAGCGTGGCGAACACCGAATGTACAACGGCTCTCGGTGAAACGATGATCCTTTTTCTTTCAAACGTTTGTTCCACGAGTATCGATAACGAGCATAAGTACAGAATTATAAAAAAAAAAACTATACTTTCGAAATAAGATAAATATATTATAATTCGATCCTTTTATAACAATAACAAATCTCTGTACTTTCAATTGTGAATCTCTATCGTTTTCTAAATATTTTTTAATTTGTTTTAATCTAATGGAGGTAAAGTGAAATTTTAATATTTAACGATGCTCTTAAGGATTCTTCAATAGCTTCTTCAAGATACTTAATCTTGAGTTATAAATCGCATTACAAATTTCAAGTTGAGAGTCACACTGAAGAGAGTATCGCAATATCATTTGGTGACAAAAAATTTTAGAAAACATTTAGATATATATATATATATTATAGATTATAGTTGCATTATCGGAAATCTGCGAGCGAGAAAATATGTACTTTCACTAGCTACGTGTTTTTTGTAGCGTGCAATAGTATTTCAAGATTAATTCGATCATAAAATGCTACATCATGTATCTTTTCAACGAACACAGAGATTCGATCTTTCTTCGAATTAATTTAATTCTCGCACGCAAATTAATAAAAATAAAATAATTTCGCGAGCGCGTAAAGATTTAAAATCTTCGATGAATGTAAGATATTATTATTAAAAAGACTTGTGCACCTTTCGAGGATCGTTTTATCGTTTCATCGTTTTATAATTATCAATTATAAATTTGATGATTGAATTTAAATAAAAAGAATACGAGTAAAAATTATTAAATATGTACGTGATTAATCAATTTTATCTCTTTCCAAATAATATTTTAACGAATATAAATCGAAATTATATTCAATATAAATACCTTTAAAAAGATTTGTGCACCATTTCATTCAAATATTATTTTAAAATTATCATCGATTCAATATTGTTGGAGCAAAGATTTACTTTAGAATATAAATATAAATTAAATATAAAATATGGATATTTTTTATAAAAATTAAAGTTCTTATCTATTTTGGCAACATCCCAACGAATCTCAATTTAAAATATCTTCAAGAAGATTTGTCCATCGTTTCAAATATTGTTTTAAAACTTACTTATAAGTCGATGCAACGTTGTGAGACAAGGATTTGCAAATCCAAAATATCTTTGTAAAGATTAGTTGATAATATACATTTAAGGATTTTGTGTTTCGATAAAGTTACATGAACTTGTACTTGGAATTTCAAAGTAGGTACATTTAACTTAAACGTGACTTCAGATATTGTACTTGCCTGGTTGTCTTTAAAACTCTTCGATTAAGACACGATGGACTTTTTATCGAAAAATTTAAAGGGATCTGAGAAATTCTTTTTAAGTACTGTCATACGCATCACTGCACAATATTACAAAATGAAAGTGAGAAGTGAAATTTCGATACATTTTCATCGAAACTTTATATTTTCTTCTATAAAGCATTGATCGTGATGAAAATGAATATAAAAATATTTTTAAAAATCGTTCAACAATTTTGAAACTTTTAATCAAATTCAATTTTTCTTTGGAAGTTTCTCCATTCCTTTCTCTTAATTAACATGTCCAAAGCAATTTAAATCATTATTTTAATATCATATTTAATATCATAAACTTTCACCGTGATTAACATCTTCGTAATTGTTCAGAAACAAATAAATATTCCTTTTTAAAAATGATCGAAGCTCTTAAGAATAATATTAAGCATAATAAAATCATGTCAGAATAACTATAATAAAAATAATAATTGTATCTCCATTATCCAAATACTCTAATATCCAAACATTATACAAATTCTATATTCACAACTATGTAAGCAAACTCCTTTTCTTATTTAAATTAGTGGAAATAGAATTTAATTTAAAATTCATATATACAATTATACACATTCATACATGTCAAAAAATTGGAAATATTTAAGAAATTGGAAAGATGCAGAATTGGCAAAAGTATATAATACATCTATATAATATTTAGAAATCCATTTCTCGAAATATAGAACAATTCTAAAAAAAAAGTATCGATAAATGTTATCCAAACGTCCCCCTTTTATTAATTCGGATAATGGTGTTTCTCGTCGTGGCAAATAAATGAATAACTCGTTATAAATTTTGTATAAAAAATTTTATATAAAATTGCACGTTTATTCGTTTATTCCTTAGACAGTAATCACGTATTTCAATTTAATATATGACAATCATCATCCAGAAATTTTGATAGAACGACAATCGAACGATCCATAAAGCCGAAGAAAGAGTTTCCTCGCGTATACAGTCCCAACGGGAAATTTTCCAACCAGAGGTGCCAGTTTCTCGATCAAAAAATTTACGGACCGATGAAAGGAAGCGTTCACTCCATTTTCACGTATCCACCCTCCCTTCTTCGATCGAAGATCTTCGCCCCCGCTCGAGATCCCGAATCTTTGCATAATGCCACCGATGATAAAATACTCCCCTGCTTGCAAATCGAAATCCCGGCGTGAAAACCCCACGTTATATACATATATATATATACATATACATATACATATATACGTACATACGTGCACGTACGCGGACGATCCTCTCCTCCAGAGGAGGCTGGCCAGAAGGGGTTCGGTTGGTAATCAAAATGCAAAACTCTTCGGCTTTCAATTGCATGGAATATCGGAATATCCGGGCCGCCACGAAGTGGATATCCCGGGTTACCTCGAGAAAAACTGCACGTTCCTCCGCGTGAAATTTCTTCGAAGATGGCGTGTCTACCCTCGTGTTGCAATTTACAACGTCCCAAAGGATCATCCTGCATTTTCGTGCAAGTCGATGACTCGCAAAGGGAGAACGTATAGCACGCGACAAAGAAGATTCTTTTTTCTTTTTTCCAACGAACGGAATAAGCAATTGGAGGAAGAGGAGTTGGAACGGGCAAGTAGAACTCGATCCAAACTGCAAACGTTCGTGCAAACCCTCTCTCCCCCTCGCCATAAGCCATAAAATTTCGGCCGACAAT